GATAAACATTAATAAATACCAGAAACAATTCGAATACAAATCGTAGAATGCAAGTAGTAGGCTGGTGTGTATTTGGGCTGCAGACACTAATTAATTACAGTCAGTGTGATGGATGGTAGCAGACACGGTGGATTGACGCGAAGTTTGTGGATGGTGTTGGTGGTCGGATTTACAGTTAACCAACCAAAGCGTTGCGTGAGTTGATGCGTAATCGTAATGAAAAGAGGATGATACACAGTACTCATTGCCGCCATGTCAGTATACAACAAGGCCAACACCAGCAGGAATTTCCAAAACGTCTATATGAGACCCCGTCCATATAAGCAAGAATCTGGGATAAGCGTAATGACATTGACTAGGTTTAATGCTCCCGTCTGGACGTGGGAATTGAACAATCCAAAAAGGATTTATTTCTTGCAGCATTAACATGGAGACTTTGCTGTTTACTGAGGCATTTAGTTAGGGTAGTTGTTGAAAGGATATCGCTGTCTTGACAAATGTCTTACGGGTCGATTCTGCTAAACGTGGGCAATTATGAACAAATAATTAGCCAGCTAGTATGAAGAGATAACTGACATCATTGTTTACCCTGCTTTTCCTCAAATTTACAAAAATATCTCCTCTGCAAATTAACAGCAGACTTTCTGTTACCGACGCCCTCCTGAACGACTGCGTGACTGTATTTCACCATTTGATTCATCTCCCAACTTCTTCATTTACAGATTATGCGTCAGTTAAGTAATTTATAGCCTAACCTGGCACGTCCGTTTATGTTAATGTTGGGGGGGGGATGAATGCCCCGTGGCGACTTATGGCTCAGTGAGGATGGCTTAAGACCATTGTATTGGCGGTAACAATCGGGAGATGGCACCCAAAAAATCCGTTACCTAGAAATAATACCTTTAACGTTGGACTCAAACGCCTTCAGGCTATATCGGTGGTTTCAGGCCTACTTTAGCGCACTACTTGGACTTTCCGCGACGGCCTAACTTGGGCTGACCGAACGAACATCGCAGGAAGTTACGTGGACGATGGTCGCTGTTACCCAGCCTTCCCCATCGTTACACACGTACACCAGAATATACGGCATACGTTCGCATCATGGCAGTTTATTACAAAACAAAATCACTTTTAAATAGGATTAGTCTGCACACCATGGGTTCAGGAACAGTTCCCAGGCATTGAGGCCAAACAAAAGACGATACTATACTTCGTCTATATGAGCCCACACAGCTCGACCACATACAGGGACTCCCTCGTGAAGTTTCGTTTTCAGTCTACTCCAGTATGCCTCAAAGTCATTGGTGTGCCGTCCGGTGGTAGGGTCCTGAAGGTTCTTTCAGTGGTTAACAGAGAAATGTAGATAACCTTCTGAGGGAAAACGATTATGCGCCTTCTATTCGTCCGTTACGACTATACTGCCTTTAACGATTCATTTTGTAATAAGAGAACGGAGAGAGGGCCAACTGCGATCGTTGACCTGTTCAAATAAGGCTTCCTGTCGGCTAGTATCGTAAATCCCAACCAGCCACCACACATAAAACCCCTATTACCACCTGTCCCGTAAGACAGGCTGATTTGGTTAGGCGGATTTTTGGGTGCCATCTCCCGATTGTTACCGAATTGGCTGCCGGCCTGGACAGATTATTAGGATTACTGGTAAGACTGGGATTATCATGCCAGCCCATAATTCCCTTGTATGCTGTCCTTCAGTAACTGCGGAAAACACACTGCGATTTATTAGCACTGATTGCATTTTGCTCACTAGTCGCGCGGTAGTCTCAAGGACGGTCTCAAATAGCGTATAGGTGCTTATCACTAACATTGCGCCAGAAACGTCTAGCTTTGAAACTCCAGTAGTAGAAAACAGAGATGTGACAGTGGATTGCGACGACATTATCAGAAGACCAATAAGCCGACGAAATTAGAATTCTAATAATGCTGGATAATACACGAAATGTATCTAACATTTAGTTATCTGTGGACTGAAAAAACAGTTAACTTATGGCGTATTAAATAAGAATGTCAAAGATATCTGAATTATCTAATAAATTACAATACATTCAGTAAAAATGGCAATAGGCATGTAAATCGGCTTCTTATCGGGGGGATTTTACTTGCAATACAGTCAGTGAAATCAATTGAGATGACTTTTGCTTGTGAATGTCGTCATCTTCATCCCGTGCAGATGCACGGATATGGCCGATTGTGAATTGGGGATGCAGGTTAGAACAGTTCCCATGCGCTGCCTAGTTAAGCCCGCATCCAGTGCACTCAATGCAATAGATCACACTAATATCATGTGTTCACGCAGGATGCCGGGGTGGTGCACGGAACTGCACCGTGAACTCGCTGTTTCAGAGAGACGTTGTACTTCGAAAACAAGATTCAGTATGCGAAATGATGTATTAACGTAAGAACTGATAAATTCGATATTTCCCATTCTGTTTGAATCTGTAAGTTCCGCCTGACAGCGCTGTCGATTACAACAATACAGGCAGGATACTATAATGCACAGCATTTTAGATCGAACGTATGTTAGAGTAAATGCAGGAACTCTGTGCTTCACGCAACACGGAAATTCGTATCGTGCCTTGGATTGAGAAGCATAGGGGTCACAACGGTATATTAGAGGCTATCTCGAATTGGCTGTAATTGTGTGGGGTTTAAAAGGTTTAGGGCATTTTGCACACGCCTGTGTCGGAAACAAGTGGTCCACACGAGATTGAAGTACAAAAACTTAGTTTCATGTGTAACATGTAAACGCATAATGACAGACGCTTTACGTACGGTCGAGTCAACTTAAGACTGCTCAGAAATAGAGTTCAGACACAGCTATTCTGAATTAATCTGCCTGCACATGCTAATGACTCGAAGGAAGTAGGAAAAGAGAAAGTGGCAGGTGAGCAAATTAGGAATTTCTAGATGATTCAGTATGTACAGCATCAACATTGAGCTACTTCCGGGCGAATGATAGATCTTGATTCCTTCGCCACAAATGATCCGACGTTTATAGCATAACAGACGTAAATGAAAAGGCTGCTGCAGTTAATTATGCCTAGATTTCTGAAAATATATCTCACTTAATTGATCTGGCTACTCCCACATCAATGTTGCAATGTTTTATATAAATCTTCGATGAACGTTACGAAAATATGCAGACAGACAGACAGGCATAAATGAAGGCAGTATTCTAGCATTAGAAGAGTCACATCAGCCAGTGAGTCGCATGCCCGAAAGCACAATTGTCAGACGTAGTCTGTTAGCGCTCAGTGAGCCAATAGGGAAGAGGAAGCCAAATGCAATTGATTCAGTTTAATTTAAAAGAACGGCCGTAAGATATAATGAGTTTCATTAGTTTTAAATTGAAGAGGTGAAATTTTATGTTAAAATGGGATGTGGCAGTATGTTGGGCATAATGCCTTCATAAAAGTGCATGGTTGGTGTTTTCGAAAGGGGAGACCTTAATCTCTCAGCGGTGTAACCCTTTGAAGCAGAGTGTAAACAATTTTGTTGTTCCAGAGAAGTAGGTCCTCTCACCTCAGCGGTAGCATTCAGTGGATTCCCTGGAGCAAGATCAGAGCAGTACAGGGGTGGGGTGTATTTGTGCGTTTACTGTGGAACTCAATTAAGGAAGGTGTTGTTGAGAGAATGCCGCTGTCTTGACAAATGTCGCACTGGTTGAATCGGATGAAGGGGGGAATTATTAGCTGAGAATGCGCCAACTTGCATAAACAGACAGCTGACAGTATTAATCACCCTGTCTCTCTTTCATCTTGCAATTACTATCGCCGCTGATATTTAGCGGCGGACTTTCATTTTCCGACGCCCTACCGGAGTACAATGTGAATATATCTCACCATTTACATTATCCCCAAACCTTTGCATCGACAGAGATTGCTTGAATTTGAAAATTGTTTGAGGCAGATTTTAATGTCGTGTAAAAGAATTTACTTGCAATATTGAGAATGAGTTTCGAACAACTTCTGGACTATTGTGACAACGAAATCTGTTGTGCAACAGTAGCCTAACTTGAAACGTTCGTCTTCTTCAAGATTCGGCGAAATCCATTTCCCCTGGCGGCTTACGGCTCAGTTCAGATGCCTTGAGATCATTGAATTGGCTACTGGTCTAAATAGATTATAAGGATTACTGATAAGACTGAAATTGTGATGACAGTTCGTAATGCCCTTGTAATCTGCCCTTCGAGTTACCGCAGACAACACACTGCGGCTTGTGGGCACTACTTTTATTTTTCAGTTTAGGCCATTTTGTCGTTCGGTATACGTGGATTTTGAACTGTTGGACTCCTATTTGTTACGAGGGAGGTAATAGTATCAACGATTTCCAAACGAAAACTGTAATCAATGCAGATATGCGTCGAAGTCGTTTAGGTTGACAATTTATTTCAAGTTCTTA